TTGACGTGGGCTCTGCTGTTGACGTGGACTCTGCTGTGGACGCGGCCTTTGCTGTTAGAAACTGAGGGCCTAAAGCTAGCAACGGCTTTGGTACAAGGACGAACTGGCCGCTATCGAAGACCTTATGGAGGTCGACGCGAAGCGGCGCGACATTAGCTTCGCCGTCAAATGCGGACTTTCCGCGGGGTGCGGGGTTGGCATAACTTCGCATATTATTGTTTTCATACCAATCCCGTTTTTCTCTTGGGATTATATGGCTCTGATGAAGCGGTTTCAGAAAGTTCGTTACCAAGCAACGATTTGCTAATGGAGCTATTGGTGGAGAGTTTGTATGGTCGGGCGGGTCATGCGATACGTACCATTCCGGTGGCACTTTGTTATGGGGAAATTGCCAATCTGTAAAAGAGGGCACTATTGGGTATTTGCAACGTACGTCGTTGTCTATAGACGTGTATATAGACGCGGGCGAAGACGATTGTGCAGTAGAAGTGCAAGCTATGCTACTTGTTGCTATAGGTTTTGTCGGCTCGTAGCCTCGTAGTTGCAGGAAGTAGTCGCCAGGTTCAAGTATGCCATTAAGGGGTGTTTTGACGGGCTTTTCCCCATACCGCTCGTAGCTAAAGTAAACATTGCCAAAAGCATTATTAGCGATAATGGCGGCTGCAGTTAATGCAGTTTGATGATGAAGTCCCGAAGTCCGGCTTTGGGTTGATGGTGAGACGACACAATCGGTAGCGGGAAAAGTAAAAAGAACGTTGTCGACGTGTTCGTACCCAGGGTGTCGTATACAGACTGTAGGCAAGCAACGTAGATTATCACAGGGTGGCGGCCAGCGAGGCGGTGGCCGAACGAGAGGGTAGGATAGTGGCCGACCGGGAGGGGATGCCATTGTGGAATACGTACGAAGTTGATGCACTAGATAGAGAATTGCGCTGAGAGGTTGAGGCAAAGGTTGTAGAAGCAACGTTGGCTGTAGCTGATGGCTGGCCTGCAAGGCAGTCTTTGTATTCATCTGTAGTGGGTTGTATGAAGGATGGTCCACTAACACTTAGGTACTGCCACTGTCTACTTATAGTGGGGTAGACCTCTGTAGGTCAGGTGACATTGGCCCTACTACCTACCTACGTAGGTAGGCAGCAGGTTTACGCAAGTCCCCACCTTATCCAGCCACAATCGGACACATGGGTAATGTAGGGGAAAAAAGCCAGAATCGGACACATGAGTAATACAGAAAAAGAAAATAAGGACTATGCGAGGTAATCTAAGTAAATAATCGCTAGTAAGATAGGATATATAACAGAAACCAGCGCATGAAAGTCTTCCATAATTGTTCGTGCGGCTGCTAGAAATCCTAACAGGTACAGCTATGGAAGTGCGCCAGAAGCTGAGTAACGCCAAACGCAGCGAGTTGCGCATCAAATACCGTGAGGTGCTCGCTCAACATATCGGTAAAATTGATCTACAGTCTGTTTGGTTTTAATTAGTGTTAACAGAATTGTTAGAAGAGAGGTTGGGAATTTGTATTAGTTAATTTGCGTGGCCGACGCGAGAGGTTACATTTCTCCGACATGGACTCGCACATACTGCGAGAGAACAGGGGGAAGACTCGTGCCTGTGATTGCACTGCCTATTGAGATCCCGTGAGAGGCGCACACGCTAGCCAAGTTGGGGGACACCTGCTTTCATTCCTCATCCTCCTCTGAGTTTCTTGGCCGCCATCTTCATGTCTCGGCAAGATGCCGCTTGCCTGGTCCGACGAATGCTTTCTCTTAGCTACTGGGGTCGGTGCCATGAGCAGAAGGTGTCACGGATATCACATCTTAATATATTCGATGTCCGTAAACCGGATATTGTTTCTCGCTGGTTTCCAGTGATTACTCCCTATTAGTCATATTACCTACTTCGAGGTCGTATTCACTACGATACAATATGACATTCCCCTACGAGCAGCAGAAATTCGGCTACGGGGTAGATATAATAACAAGGTCATGTATATAGCTCTGGTAGGTGCGGTATAGTTGACACGTTCATGTATAAAATTATTGCCATCATCAAGAATATTGTTGCGAAGCCTCTCTAACCTAGGGGCTCCCTAGATTTCAGACTATACAGAATTACTTCCATATTTTTGGATAGCTTCCTAAATTAACCACGAGGGCGTGTTATAGCATAGTTATACAAAGTTTCTTTGGTGAATATTTAGTATTTCAATTTTAAGTAACCCTCGAGATCTTTTAATGGTTCTGGTTTAATAGTCTGCCATTAAAATTTAGGTCCAAGGTTTACTCTATTCCAAGTGCATACTAGTTCGTGATATACATCTTTTATCACTAACTGCTGTTTGTAAAGAGTTCAGTTGATCCCCTGCGTACGATGTCTACCTATATACAATCGACCATACCTACTGGCCTGTATCGTGTATTTCAACAAATTAATAATTTATACTCGCGTGGCACACAACTTGTGTGAGTGACAAAAGACTACTATAACAGGCTAGTTCTAAATGAAGTTCAATCGAAAATGATACTCAATACAGACCGTGAATATAGGCATACAAAGCCGCAGCTTTCAGCCCCCTATCTTCCCCTGATTTCCTCAGTATCCTGAAGTGTCACACGGACAAGGCCAGGTGCCCACGCCTGCCAGCCTTCCATCCAGACATACAGTCTCCCGTCAAGACATACAGCCTCGAGGAGCCGCAACTATTGGCTGGCGATTATCACGAGACTTGTAAGAGTCGTAGGAGCCTCGTATTGCGGACTCGATCCAAGACAGCCAAAGGAGGGGTAACGGCTAGAAGGCTGAGGCACCAGCCTCAGGGTTGTCTATAAATACGAGGCGAAGGGTGAGGTTACATCGAAGGATGGATTTGGAAGGCAAGGACCCTTTGGATCCGAAGAGAATTATTAGCTAAATAGAACACTGTTCCAAACCTTATTACATAAGCCCTTGTCGCATGAAGCTAATATACAACAGCAGAATCACTCTACGAGACCAAAATATGCAGAATAAAACAAGCTATCACACTATTACCATTTATACCAAAAAGATGTTAAGACTGCCATGGCCCCTTAGCTCCGTAGGGTGCTTGTTGCAGGTTCCCTAATCTTCTCGAGAATGCCATAAGTATGACTAGTTATTTTTCTGATAAATGTTTAATTGTCTAGAAAACAAGCGGTATATTAGCGGGTGACACTCGTATATCAAAACAGAAAAAGTTAATTGCCTCCTGGCCCCGGTATAGAAATAGATCTTATGACTCTATCTGTTAGTTAGAAGCATTCTGTAGATTAGTTCTGACCAAAGATACATACGTATATGATCCCACACATTCCGTAGACGTAACTAGATCGTACTATAATGTATATTGATACACACACGATCCTCTCGATAATAATAGCATGTGATCCCAGAGTTCCCCCAAGCCATCTTTATGAGATTCTTCTCTGGCCAAACTGCTGTTTGGATATCATACCTTGGCGAGCAAGCAGGTTGCCCAAAGTCCGTAGACCTACCAAAATATTGACACCGTACGAGGAATTCTTCAATTCTTATCACAAGCTACGGAATTTCCCCAGGCTGTCCGTCCGGACGTGCGTGTCCTGGAGACCAGACGGATTTGAAGTGGTCCGAGCCTAGCCTTACTATAAACCTTCTACCAAACGAGTACTATATATAAGAGTTTAGTATTAGGGTTTATTGACCCAGTTGGTATGGCCTTGCGATGCGGCATCCTACGTTCTCGGCGTTAGGAGGCTCACTCGACTTTTTTTACTCCGCATTGTTAGATACGGGGGGGTGATTCCCTCGCTGGCCGTTATTTTTTTTGTATGTCTCTTCTTCAACCTCTAAGCTATTGTCATCCTCGTTCCCTCATTCTGACCCTACTTACTGCGGCTACGTCTGTGTCTATCATTGCCCCCCTCACCGACTTATCATTAACGTTAAAGTGAATATCCACGTCATAAATATCCCGACGGTTCTTGTGCTGCAGCCGTAGATTAGGTTCTCCCGTACCCTGAAATCGGCCCAAGCTTACAAGTGGCCCGAGCCTATCCCAGCATATACCTCCTGCCCAACGAGTACTACATAAGATTTTTTAACCTTAGAGACCAGTGGCTGAGTTGGTAAGGCCTAGCGATAGCGATACAGCGATACAGCGTTAATATCAATACTCTATATCTATACTCTATATCGTTAGGCGCGGGGGTTCGATTCCCTCGTTGGCCATTCGATTTTTCAATTTTTTTTCTTTCATTACTTCGTTCTCAAGTTTTGATACACAGGCGATAGGCTCCCCCTCTTGTTGAGGGAGGACTAATTCCTTGCGCAAATACGGTGCTACACCAAAGGGCGTAATTATAACTTGATAGAGCGCAATCTCTTTCATGGATGGATCCCAAGTGCCCCCAATCTATGGTGGCCTTGGTACTACCAACACATGCCACAACAAGCCACTGCCAATGTTAATGCAGTTGAAAAAGGGTGTATTCGAGTGCACTGTTGAGGTGACAGACACGTGTTGCTGTGCAAAAGTCTCTAAAATACCCTCGTGGAGCTACTATAACTATATCACAGAAGTCTGGTTATTGTGCGTGTGCCCCGTGACACGCACCATCTCCTCGGCCCGGGCGCTGGACATCTCCTCCCACTCCCAGAGCCCAACTGCTACACTCAGCTAACTACTTACCCAGGGAGGTCGTTAATGTTGGCATGTAACCTAGATCCCCATGTCACAATTATTAGCTTGCATATAGAATCCCCAATCTCTCTCCGCATTTTTACATCGATACAATCTTAGTACTGTAGACATGCTTTGATACGTACTTGTTAACTACGAATATGGTAGAGTCCCTATAATGTATTGTACATATTGTCTGTCTTTCTGTCTTTCTTTCGTTCTCATCTCTTCTCTTACACAACCGTTTTCTAGCACACCTTACTAGGAAGTTCGCAATGGAGGAAGTCATCTTGAAATTGTCTTATGTAAATATGGAGATTATATAAGGTGGTATTAGGGACGGTCCGTATGTCCATACTGTAAGAAAGAAAGAAAAACACTACATATCTCACAATGTTATCCCATTTTAATTATAGAAAGGATATAAATACTTCTAATGTGGCTTGGGAAGATTGTGCATATCTCGGAGAGCGATGAGCATATATGGGTCCGTATTTTAACGGTGATCGAAGCTATTTCGCTAAAGCACCCTGGATGGGTAGTGTATATCTTATGGCCATCACTCTTCAAAGTAAAGATCCCGATGTCGATGAACATCAAGAGCCAAGAGGATCTCGAGTGGGCCTTGGTCTCGCTCTACGGGCTTGTTTCTGCGACCTCACACACCGATGCGGTGGCAATCAAAATATGAAAGGGAGTCTAGACTCTAATACGCGGTAGCCTAATGCTAGACCTCAAGTTGGCGAACTATCTGGGTAGCCTAAAATGTTTCCCTTAAACTACACCAGGAGCCATTGTCCCCAAGTACTGCACTAGCCCGGGCATACAGCTGGCCACCGAGCGGATAAATCAGGCCATGTAATGGGACTCCAGCGAGATGATTCGAGCCTACCGGTTAGACCTGCGATCGACGACAAGCTGGGCACGGACGACCTGGCGGTCTACCATAGGCAGTGCCGTGAATCTTCGCGCGCATGTCAGCTTCTGGAATACCGAGATTTATGCCGCACGTACGTACTCGCTAAGCGCGGAGGGTTCAGGGAAGAGCCCCATTTGCTGGTGTTGTCAAATAGACCGACGGGGGTCCTGTACACGGCGTTTCAGAAGTCGATCTCTGTCCCTATCGGTGGGACCGGTTGTTATTCCGTCACCGGCGGGCAGGCGGCATCTAGACGGACCAGATCGGGTTTTATGAAACCTCTTAGAGAGATGGGGAGGGGGAGGGGAGGGGGAGGGGAGGGGGCTCTCGTACCGTTGCGGCCGGTGCTGAGTGGCGGCCGACTGGAAACAATGCAAAGGGCAAATACAGTAATCTGGAAAGGTCGTACAAACTTACCAACGCAGAGGGACGAAACAAAATCTCAGGAATCCCACCGCTGGCTACGTCGACCGAAGGGCGGATCAATGTGCAACATCCGGGAAGGGTTCGGCCCATGGGACAGATCCTAGATAGATAGCCCTGTCTTGCCCTGCCCTGGCCTGCCCTGCCGTGCCCTGGCCTGGCCTGGGTCCCAAGGCCAAGGCCAAGAACATACCAAATACTGAAACAGAGCTTACTTGGGTGTCAATGTTTCAGATGGTCCCTTGGGGAAAAGAGGCAAGTCAAAGCACAATTGGTTCCGCATGCCACCGCAACACCAAGCTGGTATGGTTCCTTGATAGCGTCGCATCGCCCGTGGGGCTCGTCATGATCAGGCACACGGCAAAAGCTGTAAACAACACCCTAGCGACGCCTATGCATTGTATACTACAGTAGGTAGCGTAGGCGTTGAGGGCGCGCCGGCAGGGCGAATGAATACCGGCGCCCAGGCTCGAACCAGCCAAGCTAGACGGCTTTCGAGGAAGGTATTACTGAAAGATGAAACGAAAATAGAGTCGTAGTGGATAAGCACCGGGGATGCAATGCATGCGTTGCATGGTAGCGCGCGCCTTAGTGGACGTCACGCACATCTCGAAGATGGTCTATCCTGTGATGATCCGAGCTTCTCCATATTGTTGGGCTCCATTGAGTAAAAGAGTGGTTGGGGAGTAGCAAGTCTGTTTTGTTACTTTTATTCTAACCCTAGGTGCTCGCTTGTTAAGATGGAAGGCCTTGGGGGTGGCCGTGTCTACTTCACCAGCGGGAGATGTAGAGAGATGGTGGCGGTGGGGGAAAATAGGCACTCGAAGCCGACGATATGGTTCGCGATGCTAGCAGATAAGTACTGTAGATCTGAGATGTCGGTTTCAGTACCGACCTGACCGATCTTGGGCTCTCGTTGCCGCCGACAACGTTTACGATGATCACGGCTGGGTCACCGAACTGACAGAAGGCAATCAATTCAAAACGATCAACCCCCATGCCTAGGTTACGTGGGCGGGCCGGTAGCCGGGCCATTGCTCCTGAGCATAGCATTGTCGAGTCCAAAAAGCACGTGTGCTTAACTATGGATGATGGGCTTCAATTCTCACTACTGTAAGTAATCACTCAACGTCGAAACCCCCCCGTCGCCACTCTTGGAGTCGTTGCAGGATTATTATCCTGGCTGGTCTCATGCGAGGTTTAGGCTTGGATGGGTTTAAGCCGAGATTCTCTACCAAGATTCGCAAAGGCGAGAGGCGTGTGGGTTTCTGCTAGGGAGGTAGACTAGGTCCGTAGCGTACAGTATCTGGGCATTGTAGTGCAATGCCGTCACCGAGAAAACCGCGAGCCACGCCTAAATACGAGGTTGGGTGAAGGTTATACCCTCCCTTCTCTTTCTGGAAGAACGTGAGACGGGGTTGTACCTGTTTCACGTTCCTGACTAACGAAAAGAGGCGCCGGGACGATCGCTCCTCCACATTACGCTACCACCAGCCTGACCTTCCTATGCCTATTCCATACGGTACATACATTAGGTACCATCTCATGTCGATGGGCGTCTGTTTCAAAGGCTCCATGCAACATCAATTTGGGGTTGTTGACCCGAGACTAGCTCTGGGTGTTTCCTGCAGGCCCCCCTGTCCAGAGCCCTGCCTTTGCAGGCGCTGCGCCTCAGAGCCAATGGATCCCTTGTTTATACTGCGACCTTGCATGACTGGCACTTCCGAGTGATGGTTCATACTTATAGTCCTCTATCAACTCCCTATATGAGAGCTAGAACGTTGATAGGGGATCCTCCGCCACGGTGTCGATCATGTCGAAGAAGGGAGAGGGGGATCGAAGCTATCGTCTGCATGGATGTAGTGTAGGTAGGTATGGAATGTACTTAGGTATTGCTGCACACATTATCTCGACGTACGAGTATAGCGCTATTTACAAATGGTGCCAAGTCTGCATGATTCAGGCACGCACCAATCACACGTGTGCCCATTCGCTACTAGAGTGTGCACTACCTTGGTCACACTTTTGTCGTTTGTGGTTGGGACCCGAGAAATGGATAATTCGGTGGAGTCCAAGAGGCGCTCTCGAGCAGGTGCCACGAGGGAGGCGTTTGGATGTTTTGGATGTTTCAACCGACTTCGTTTCTAATGTTTCAAGTATGTGGCATAGCATGAAGGTCTCGTGAGGAAACAAAGTGGTTTTTGTTGGAAAAAAAAAAAAGACCCGCAACTGTTATTGTACTGTTAGCTGGTGTAACAAAACTGTCAGTGAAGAGCTCAACGACTTGGATGGAAGACTCGACTTAAATGAAGCGGCTCCTTGCATAGATAGTTGTAAGTTCGGTAACACACTAAGGAGGTAGTGCTGTTGATTGACTTAGTATGCTATACTACTGTATATATTGTTGATAGTATACTTACCTGCGAGTTCCAATTATGCCTCCTTGCTTTAAAGTGTCTACTTGTATTTGTATACTATCTGCAATAGGTAAGGTAGGTGCCAATCCTGCGTTGAATGACTCGCGTACCTATAGACTGTTCCCGTAACTCGCTCTTGGGAATTCTCTTGATCTAGCTCCAACACTTCTGCGGCAAGACATCTCTTCAAGCACCGAAAATAGTCGAGCAGCGTCCTAGAGTAGCATAGAGTGGATGATGATTAAAAATTGCTAGGTACTGTAAGTACCGTAGGTAAGATCTGAGCCGCCGGGCCGCATATTTCTGCAACCCCTTCTGCAGCAAAGTATACAGTAGGTCAGCTGGATGGTGACTAGCGGTACGGTTAGCTCTGTGGCTGTCTTCAGAGCAAATGAGATCAAATTGGTGGTGGCGACACGACATTATGGGATATGCTATTTCTGTTCTTGGTCGTAGCTGGCGGCGTGTTACCTGGTGGGGAGCCATCTCGGAGAACCAATTAACGTCTTGCATGCCGCACTCAGCCTACAGCAAGGGACCCTTCATGGCGATACGCATAGGATGTCTGTACTGCTCTTCACATCTGCTATTGGTCCATGTGGCATCACGCGTAGTTACCCAGGTAGCAGCAGCTCTTCAAGCAGGAGTGAGTGACGTGACGCTGGAGAACAGGTTACTTCACCAATCTTGCGGTTTCAAGACTCCTCCATAGCTCTCGGAGAATTACCGAACCAGTAACAATCTGGCATCACTGGGCGCCTGTTCTGGCCAAGTTTACATCGGTTATTCT